CAGTGGGATTGTTCACATAGCTGTTTTGTTTCCTTTTTCAAATTGTAAACTCTTTACTATTTGGCGATGTCCTCTTACTAGGATGTCAGCCTCTTGTACAAGAACGCCTATTCACAGGCAAAGTTTAAATCAATACAAATTCACTTGTCCATACAAATTACCATTGTTTTCCTTTTTGTGTTTTGTCTTGCGAAGAACGTCCAATGTTCATTTTTGATATATACATTTGACATTAAATTGCTGATTCATAAATGTTTGCATATGAAACAAGAGATTAATTACAGGTGACATCAAAGACAGGGGCAATGTGGAGTTGTCTATTGCAGTCTGGTTGTTTTGTCCGCCAAGGCACCAAGGTAGGTTCAACTGAAGATTGTGGCCAAATCATCTCAATTCCTCACAGGGAAAAACAGAACGCGACAATACTTTCCCCAAGCAAAGTTGGCTCCCCGTCGATCCTAAAAGGACCCAACATTCCCCGGCAGGTCTTAAAGTTCAATCAATCTCCCCAGTAAATTCTGCAAGCTTTTCCCCTGCAAGACACGGACGTCTCACCCGAGTTTATTTAGAGTTATTTCCTCACAAGGACTTATAACTGGGTTATCCTCAGCTAAAAGCCACGGAAGACCGCTCTCGGCAAAGTTCCTTCAATCCCCGGCGGAGTCTATCTTTGGTATTCCCAAGCAGAGTTTATCTTTGGAGTTCCCCAGCGGAGTTTATCATCATTATCCTCAGCGGAATCCGTCGTTAAAGTCCTCAGCAGGCCTCTCATCAAAACTTCGGCCAAGTATCTCTTCCACAGAGCAGCTTCCCGGCCGTTCGTCAAGGATTTATTTTCCTAAGATGAAATTACACTTATAAGCATTTCACATTTTCATACATCTTGCTTACATACATGATGAAACGCATACAACATCTCATGTTGAACATCATAACATCATGCATATCATACATCATGACATTGCATACCACTTATGTTTTTTGCCTTTTCAGGAAAAAGACAATCCCGAAAACAACATTTCCAGACTCGATTCCTGTATCTAGCCAGGGCACGTCTGAAGAGTTCAAAGATTCGATTCCTGTATCCAGCCAGGGCACATCTATCAACTGTCACGTTTCCAGACTCGATTCCTGTATCTAGCCAGGGCACGTCTGAAGAGTTCAAAGATTCGATTCCTGTATCCGGCCAGGGCACATCTATCAACTGTCACGTTTCCAGACTCGATTCCTGTATCTAGCCAGGGCACGTCTGAAGAGTTCAAAGATTCGATTCCTGTATCCAGCCAGGGCACATCTATCAAACTGTCACGTTTCCAGACTCGATTCCTGTATCTAGCCAGGGTACGTCTGAAGAGTCCGAAGATTCGATTCCTGTATCCAGCCAGGGCACATCTATTAACGACTATTTCCAGATTCGACTCCTGTGTCCAGCCAGGGCACATCTGTGAGCAATCGATTGTAGATTCGATACCTGTATCTAGCCAGGGCACATCTGCATAAGGAAATTAAAGATCAAACACCTGTAACAAGCCAGGAAAACATCTGTCTTTCTCAAATATACAAGTTTCTCGCTAAGGAATCTCTTAGGCGATCGACACTTCCAAATGGCGTCTATAAGCCCATTCCCGACAAGGTTCTGTCACGTCTCCGGATGGCATCTGTAAGCCCATCTCCCTATCTACCACCTCTCCAAATGGCATCTATAAGCCCATTCCCGACATCACATTGTTGATACTCTACTAAGCGAGTGCAAATTTTCGGGCACTCTGGTGTCCAATCTCCTTTTACCCTCGAGTCGCGAAAGGCAAACTTGCCAATCTAACTCTTCAGGTTCAAGAAGATTGAACAGGGGCAACTGTTGTACCCCAAAATTCGCCCTCCCTTTCTTCAGGAAACCATCTTAGATTTTTCAAAACTCCCTGAAACAAGTCCAAGTCTTGAGTTATCCTTTTGCCCAAGCAAGTCACTTACAAGAGCAAGATGATCTCACAAACTCCAGAAACAACGCTTTCATCTTGAGGAAAATCAAATTCTAAGTGCTTAGAATGTTTCTTTAAAATAAGTGTTTTTAGAAAAATCAGCGCTTCAGAACTTCTGGACCCATTCCAGATGAAGACGGTCAGAAGTTGCAAGCTTGGCACAGCGTGGCCAGAAGTTGGCTCTTCAGCAGTTATACCAGTTCAATCAGAAGTTGTAAACGTAGTTCAGAGTGTAAGCCTCAAACAGAACATACCCCTTCAGCAGTTACACAAGCTCAGTCAGAACTTGCTAAAAGAATGCAAGAGAAACAGGAAAGTATGAAGGCCCCTTCAGAACAGGTTGAAATCAGAAGATGAAAGGGCAGAAGGATAGGTGTCACATTGATATAGAATCTCTAAGTCCAGATTGTCCAGAAGTAGATCCAAGGAACGTATCAGAAAACCAGGAAAATTTCCAGAGCTCGCTAAGACAACAGGTAGCCAAGGCCAGAGCATGGTTTACACTACTGATGCAACAACCAGAATGTTGGTATTGACAGGTCTTGTCACCATTTAATGCCCATTAATGCTCCCAACCACTCCTGAGCGTTCACGTGTGGCTTGGAAAATGCTTTTGCACAGATTCTGGCATGGGTCTTCACGCCACCGCCCATTTCAGAGGTCACTTCCCCCAATCTACGCCTGCTGCTGCTACCTAGGCTGAAAAATAGCTGTTATCACAACTTCCCAGGAATTTCTGTCAAAGAACAACTTCAAACTCTGTTGGCGCCTTAAATGTTCAAGGTATCCACAAGAACTTTGCCTATAAATAGAGAGCCTTCCCCACTGCAAAAGACGTTCAAGAAGTTCAAGAAAAGAAACAGAAAAATTGCTAAGAGAGAAACCAAACTCCTAAGCAACACAACGTTCTGAAACTCTGCCAAAATTTCCAGCCTTGTTTCATAACTTTAAGTTTCTCACCTTCAACTTCATCAAACACCCAGCCCTTTTCTGTAAACCAAAAAACGTTCTTTCCAAACTTCTGACCCTATACGCGTTTACACCTTCACTTTCCCTTTCTCCAAATCTGTCCAGAACACCACCAGAACCAAAAGCTAACTTTCACCCACCATTTTCCAGAAAGTCAGGTAAGCACCTGCTGACCCTCACCACACTGTTAAGCATCATCAGCTGTGCATATTCAAGTAACATAATGTAAATATTCATGTTATTGCTGTTTATGTTCTGAGGACTCTCATACCTCAGAACATTCTGAGCCAGTTTAGGACCTGCCTGTGACCTTGGTGATTCTGACCTCTGAGACATTTTGCTATTTTGCTGGATCTGTTCCAAATATGTTTTCTGTTTTGTGGAGTAACAACAGGATTGCAGATGTTCTGATTAGTGCAGGAAAAAGCCAAGTGCTGACTTTGACGTTAGCACATCTGAAGCCTGTTTTGCTGTCAATAACATCAGAACCTCTGAGAGTTATTGCCTTTTCAGCAGAATCGGAACTTCTGGGTTCTCCACTAACAAACTCCTGTCTTGCTGCGCAGGGAAATCAGAACTTCTGGTTTCCCCACTAACCAAGTTCTGTTTTGCAGGTTCTAGAGTCAGAAGTTCTGACTCATCCAGTTTCACCAACAGGTTGATCATCTGACAGCGGATCTGGGTCAGAACTTCTGATGGCCTCCCAACAGCGCGCAGGCTCCCTCCCTCTCTCTATATATCTTGTTTTTCGCTATTTTCTTTTTTGTCTATTTTTCTCGTTGAACCCCCCATGTACAAATGTGTATCCCCCTCCCCTAACTATTGTAATAGCGTAGGATTTTACATTTCCGCTTCTTATTGCTAGTAATTAGGACGTGTATGACAAGATAAAACTCAATGAAATAGAAAAACCTAATTCAAAGAAAAAAACTCTTGTATGCAATAAAACACACTTGCACACTAACACCCCTAGGGTACTCCACTTTGTTGCCTTCAAAATTGGGCCATATTGCATGTTAGGTCTCTTTGGGCAAAACAAACAAATTGAATGATCATAGTCCCTCGATAAGACTTTTTCAAAACAAACACAATTCAAATGATCAAGTCCCTTAAGAAAAATGCCCAAAGATACTTGGCACCATTGCAATTATGGTCTAAACAATGACCCGCGCCTGTCCCTTTCACATCCTAACACAAGATTATCCACCAAATACAATGGTGGAATAAACTTGTTAAAAGGGTTAAAAACATAGCAATAATCTTTCGAGAAATTTAGGAGTAGACAACCTCTTAGTTACTTGAATCAAACTTGCAAAACAAAACACTTGCCTAATTTCAAAATCACACATCACAACACTTTCAAAACAAACTTTCAAAAACAAATGAAAACCTTTTCAAAAGACATACACCTTTGTATACATCTCAACGTGGATCATTACAAAGGTTGCCACCACATTGGCCTCTTTTCAAAACATTTTCAAACCCACACACAAAGCACCATTTCAAACAAATTGAAAACAAAAGGCAAGTGATCTAAGCAAGTAACTAAGAGCCCATGGATAACCATGGATAGAAAGGGTGCTAATACCTTCCCTTTCTATAATCTACTCCCCGAACCCAAGAAAACATCTCAAAGGTTTTTTGCTGTGCTTTTTAACCTTTCCTTAGGATAAAATAAAAAGTCGGTGGCGACTCTTGCTCAACCGCAACATTTGCAAATACAAACGCAAACCTCAAGTCAGTTCTCCCACCGTATCACAGTAGTCATCTTAGCAACATGAGCAAAAGTTTCTTCATAATCCATACCATATTGTTGAGAGAATCCCTTAGCAACAAGGCATGCTTTGTAGCGCTCAACTGCTCCATCACACTTAGTTTAGATCTTGTATATCCAATGAGACCCAATAGCATGTTTTCCAGAAGGAAGAGGTACTAATTCCCAAGTATATGTTTTGTGCAAAGAAAAAAGTTCTTATATCATAGCCTGCTTCCAAAGAGGGTCAAGGACAAACTCTTTATAAGAAGAGGGCTCAGACAAACTATGGATAGAGGTTAGAAAAAAGTAGAAGAAGCAGAGTAAGTAGAATAGGAAAAATCAGGCAATTGAGTAGACTTACACTCACGAGAAGGATAACAGGGAGGCGGAGGATCAACAGTCGCGGGAGTTTCCTGGGTAGCCATGGGGACAAGAGGGATGTTAGTATCTAGAGTAGAAGTAGTATCAGTCTTGTAATTCTCATAATTATAATCAATAGAAACATTATCATTATAACCAAAAGGATCGATGTGGGTAAGTTTTGAACTGCTAGTAATATAAGAATCAGAAGAAAGAGAGTAAAAAGGAATGTGTTCAAGGAAAATAACATGACGAGAAACATACAATTTCTTTGCACCAGGGTCATAACAATGATAACCCTTTTTACCATCCCCATAACCAATAAAAACACATATAGCAGAACAAGAAGACAACTTACTACATTCTACTTGTGGGTGAAGAACAAAACAAGTAGAACCAAACACTTTCAAAGAGGAATAATTTGGGATAAAGTTATACAATTTTTCAAAGGGAGACAAACCTGATGTGACAAATGATGGAATTTTATTAATAACATGAACAACATTAAGAATAGATTCACCCTAAAATTCATTAGGAACCGAAGCAAACAACAAAAGGGAACAAGCAGTCTCAATAATGTGACAGTGCTTCCTTATAGCAACTTCATTCTGTTGAGGTGTACCAGTATAAGATGTTTGATGAATTGTACCATCAAAAGTAATCAATTCATAGAATTTATTAGAGGTATATTCACCATATAAATCACAACGGAAGAACTTTATAACAACATTATGACGAGTCTTAACCATAGCACGAAACATACAATAAATGTCAAAAAAATTCAGAATCTTTTTTCATAAGATAAACCCAACAATAACGAGTATAGTCATCTATAAACGAAACATAGTATCTAGATCCATCCTTAGTAAGAAGCAGTGATGGACCCCATACATCAGAGTGAACTAAGTCAAATGGTGCATATGAAATGGAAACACTTTTACTAAATGGTAAAGCTGAAAATTTAGCAAGTTTACAACCACAACAATATGAGATATTAATGGTTTGTAACTTTTCTAAAGCTCCAGCAGAAGCCAAATACTTTAATCTAGAAGCAAAGACATGTCCAAGACGGTAATTTCATAAATAAAAACTAGAAGATTAAGAAATCAAATGTAAAGAGGATGATAAATTAGTTGTCGAAGTAGAGCATGAGGCTGCAGTATCTGAGACTTTTAACTCATCCACAACATAAAGTCCCTCTTGTCTACGGCATGTTCCAATCATCCTTCTGGAATGAGGATCCTGCACACAACAAGAAGTGGAAGAAAACATAACTGAGTAACCAGAATCACACATTTTACTAATAGAAGCAAGACTCAAAGTGAGGTTAGGAATATAATAAACATAATAAAATGAAAAATTAGGTATGGAGATATAACCAATGTCTGCTATGGCATATGAGTGCCATCAGCAGTCATAACTAATATAGATGGTGCGGTATTAAAATACATAAATGATTTAGCATCATATGATATATGATGTGATGCTCTAGAGTTTAGAATGTACATGGAAGGAGATATATGTGACAAACAAGAAGAGTTTAAAATTTTAATAGAGGAGGCGGACATGGCACATGACTGAGTGAAAAGAAGTTTTTGGAGCTGCTCTACAATATTATATATTTGAGAAGTAGTCTCTGATGGATATATATGATCAGAACCAGAATCAATGTTTGTAGGAGTAGCACTAGTAACATTGGATGATGAGCTCTTGAAATTTTTCTTACTTACTTTTAAAACTTTGGGACATTGTGCTTTCCGATGACCTTTCTTCTTACAAAATGCACAATCATGAATACCAAGATAAACCCTACCTTGAAATTTTCCTTTGTGAAATGGAGAAGCAAAAAAAAATTGAGGAGTGGATAAAACTCCTTTATCTGGAATCAAATTGGTGTGAGACTTGAGTCTAATTTCTTCTGCCTACAATTCATTAAACACTGAATCAACACTAGAAAGAGGATTATGATGCATAATACTCCCACGAGGTCCCTCAAAATCATGCCTAAGCGCCATCAAAAATTGTACCAAATGTTGCTCTTCTCTTTGATCAGTGTATGCTTTGACAACTTTTAATTCAGTCGATTCCATTAGAGCCAAATAGTCCCACAAATTACTCATCGCTGAATAGAATTCTTGAATGTTCATATTATTCTATTTGAGAGCTTTAATATCACTTTCCAGCTGATACCGTTTTGCAAAATTAGATTGAGCATACAAATGTTTCAAATGGCCCCAAACCTCCTTAGCAGTATCATATTTTGCTAAATGCACACCTATTGACTGAGAAACAGAATTATTGATCCAAGTAAAAATCTTCGAATTACTAACATCTCATGTTTATAACTCTTTTGCATATTTTGCTTCATCCATTTTATCTGTTGTTTTAACCGAGATTCCATCAACATAACTCCACATCTTTTTTCCTTTCAATTTTTTTTTCATCACATAACTCCAATAAAAAATGATTTTCTCCAATGAGTTGGACACTAACTGACTGAAGAGAATCATATTTATCATTACTCTTTGTAATTAACTATATAACTAAAACACCACAGTTGAGTAAAGTATCAAGTAAAATTAATCCAAATAAAAAAATTGTCACTATATCAAAATTGCGGTAATTAACAAGAATCACTTTTCTCTTTTTTTTAATATTATCGACAGTGAGAATAGAAGGTATCTAACATACTGCAACATAAAATACCAAGCAAGGATCCAATCATTAATTTTTTTCCAAATAAAATTTCAAGGTACAGTAACGTAAGCCAAAAGGAAGGTACAGTAACGTAAGCCAAAAGTAAATAACCAATAGACACTTACATACCTTCAAGAATTAGAATTTTTACTAACATACCACTTTTTTAGTAATAAATTTTTATACTACCATACATTTCAACGCATATTTCCAATATACTATGTTTTTAAACAAAAAAATTGAAGTAGGAAGTTCCGTCCATTTGATTGGCGGATGCTCTTTAAATTATACAGCTTCCGCCCATTGGGCTGGTAGAGCTGTTAATATGTCGTTTTTTTCAACAGCTTCGCGTTATAACACTTCTGCCTATTGGATGGGCAGACCCTCTTCAAGTTACAACACTTACGCCCATTTCTTTTGCGGATGATAAATATTTTCAACAGCTTCACTCATTCACAGGATGGATGCTTTGTGACAAAAATGAAATTTGTTTAAAAATGTGGCAGTTTGGGATTATTGAATGAAGAAGATGGTATAGTGGGATTTATTGTGTAAAAACATGGCAGGACAGTAAAAAATTCCAAGAATTATCCAATACTTTAGCTAATCAAAATCAACTCTAAATTCCAATGAATTAGCAACGTAAATCACCGATAAAATTGTAGCTCCAATAAATCACAAAAAAAATAATTGCTCCAAGCCATAAAAATATGCAAGCCACTTTGCGATTCTTTTTTAAATCAAACCAATATCTTTGATATCATATTAAATATGTTTGGATCTCAACCTGAAAAACTAGCTTTGGTGGTGAGATTGCCCTCACATACTTATACGCTCGACAGTCCGGAAACCTAAACAATGTGGGACTTCAAACAAATTTTAACAACACAAATACCAACTTTAACACCCACCTTCACGCTTAGCATGGGCATGGGCCAAACGTTCATATTGCAGTCCTTAATCTGGCTCTAATACCATATTAAATATGTTTGGGTCTCAATCCGAAAATCTAGCTCAAAGGGTGAGATTTCTCTCATATATTTATACATCCGACAGTCCAGAAACCTAAGCAATATGAGACTTCAAACAGACACCGACATCACAACTACCAACTTCAACACCCACCCTCACGCCTAGTGTGGGTCTGGGTCAAATATCCATATTACAGTCCTTAACCCGACTCTAATACCATGTTAAATATCCTTTGATCTCAACTTGAAAACCTTTGAGCTAGCTTTTCGGGTTGAGATCCAAGAATATTTAAGATGGTATCAGATCCGGATTAAGGACTGTAATGTGGGCGTTTAGCTCATGCCCACACTAAGTGTGAGGGTGGGTGTTGAAGTTGGTATATGTGTTGTTATAATTTGTTTGAAGTCTCATATTGCTTAGGTTCCCGGGTTGTCGAATGTATAAATATATGAGGGCAACCTCACCCTTTGAGCGAGTTTTTTGGGTTGAGATCCAAGCATATTTAACACGATATTAGAGCTGGGTTAAGGATTGCATTATAGGCGTTTGGCTCATGCCCACACTAAGCGTGGGGGTGTGTGTTGAATTTAATATTTGTGTTGTTAGAATTTTTTTGAAGTCTCACATTGCTTAAGATCTTGAGCTATTGAGTGTATAAATATATGAGGGAAACCTCACTACTCAAGCTAGTTTTTCGGGTTGAGATCCAAGCATATTTAACATATATTAAACTTTACATTACATAAAACAATCTACATCTAAAGGATTATTCTTCCCAACTAATTTAAAAATGTAGAAAAATGCCTAAGATTAGTTATTAATCATTAGAAAGTTTATTTAATTAGTTGTCTTTTCCCCCCCTGTTGATAGTTAAGTAAGTTTTATATATATATATATATATATATATATATATATATATATATATATATATATATATATATATATATATATATATATATATATATATATATATATATATATATATATATATATATATATATATATATATATATATATATATATATATATATATATATATATATATATATATATATATATATATATATATATATATATATATATATATATATATATATATATATATATATATATATATATATATACACGTTTTTCATGATGAAACTTTCACGTCATCCAGAAAAAAATTGAGGTTTTACTCTAAGACGCGCCATATTTTATTTTATTTTGTTAAAAAAACAATGTGTTCTCTCGTTTATTTTAAAAACCGAGGTGATATACCATTCTGGTCATGCTTCAAATCCCATCTACTGCACTTTATGTTTTTATTTGTTTACAAGTATAAAATAAATGATCTAGCTCTTTGATTTCTTTGATAATCCGAGGGATAAATTAATCAGATTTTACTATAAAAATACTCGTTGAACATATTTCACCCTAATTCTATCTTATTTGTAACCGCCCCACCGCCGAACACATCATTTTTTTGGGATGGATCGTAAAATTGAAGAAAAAAAGTTCTTCTACCTCAAACAAAATATTTTTCCAGCTTTTGCAATCCATCTCAAACAATGGTGTTGATGTTGTTGTTGTTGTTGTTATTCTTAAAAGTTGTTGTTGTTGTTGTTGTTATTCCTAAAAGCTTTACTAATGGATTGCAAGTGCATAAACTTTTTTTCTCAACTTTTGGGAGAAATATCTTATTAGAAGTTGGATTCATTCAACACATACACATTATATACGCTAGTGAAGGCAATGATAATGATATCATTAATAATCAATCGTGGATGAAAACTTATAAAATTCAAACATCAACGCCTATATGATGGATTGCAAGTGCATAAAACTATTGCAGAGATTTGTTGTAAACAATTTATTTTAATATTATGTGTAAACAATGTAATATTAAAAAAATAAAATAATAACTATCACCTCAATTTTTAAAATTAACCGAGGTGATAGTTCCAAAAATAATAAATAATAATAACTATCACGTCCGTTTTAAACTTTAAACCATAGGTATAATAGTTAGGTTTTACTATAAAAGCAATCGTTAGATTTTACCCTAATCTGTGTTAATATGAAGTCGCCCCAACTCGCATCATTATTCCGGATAGATTGCAAGACGAAAAAAATCTTTAATGTTCAATGTTCTTCAATGTTTTTCTCTGCCCTTGTAATCTATCTCACAAAATGGTGTTGTATTTTTTTTGGAGAAATATTGTTGTTGAATTTTTGCTCATTTGATAGATTGCAAGTGCAGAAAATCATTCTTTCTTCAAGTTAAGCAAAGAAGGGAGCTCAACCTTTGAAAATTTAAACAAAGAAGAGAACTTAACTTTTCAGAAGATGGATATTACGAAACAGATCTCTAGCATCTTGTGTGGGTCCTATACATGTTCTATATTTAATATTCTGGATAAACAATCTTGATATTCTGCAAAGATTTGTTGTATACAATGTATTTTTAATATTCTGGGTAAATAATGTACCAATTTTGTATAAAAAAATAAAATCTAACCCCTCGGTTTTATTTCAAAACCTAGAGGATAGTTAAATGTTATTTTTCACTATTTTCAATGGGCTTAAACAAATCTTTACCGTCCATTTAAAGGTTATCGACGCTCAAGAATCTGCCATTAGTGATCCGCGTGAAATCTATGGGACATCCATTATATAAGTTCTCTTATGATATTAGAAATTTAACCTAAATGAAACGTATGAAGCGCTTGAAACCTAAGGACACTTGGAAAAGTTATCTACAATAGATTGCAAGAGCAGAAAATCATATGGGTTCAAGGTTTGTTTTATTAAAATTTTATTTGTATCGAAAATATTTTTGATTATTTATATTAATTATCTTACCTTTTTTTCACTAGAAACAAATACATGCAAGATTCATAGATAATATTAAATAATTTGAAGATCTAGATCTACATCTTGAGTGAATTTGATTTTCATCTAGATTTCTAGAGAATTTGATTTTTATTTTAATTTAAATATTCTGGGTAAACATTGTAATATTCTGGATAAACAATGTAAATTTTAAAAATAAATAAATAAATAAATAATCATACCCCTCGGTTATTTTGATAAACCGAGATAAAATATATGCTAGTTTTGAAAATAATAAAACTTGCTGCTTTTGGGATTTGAACCCATGCGCAAATAAAACTTTACCTTGGTATTTTAAACACCGGAATGATAAGTATTTATTTTTTATGACGACCTTATTTATCTCTCATCTATTTCCTAGGTAAAACGCATTTTGCAATGGGTTGACTTTGGCAAGGTAACTTATAAGACCGAACAATTCATCACGGCTACTCAAATAAAACAAGTGTTTTATGTGACAGACCCTGTTGATTTATTAAGGAAATGGTCAAATAGTTCTTAAAGAAAAAAACATTCCCCATAATGATGATAAAAGTTTTGTTATTCCTTCCTTCCTTCTTACGCAACACAAGTGTTA